CAATGAAGGGAGCTCGATGGTTTATCTGGAGTAAGCTCATCACTCCCCAGATTTCTCGCCCTGAATACCAAGTCCCAGCATTGCTAACTATTTTCTAGACCGACCATTCGCTAAGAAGATTGTATCTTGGACTACTCTGTTATTGCTGGGCTCCTTTTACTCTTCACTCGATGCCGGCAACCTCACTACACCGACTAGAAATGACGGTACTGGCCCTTTGTCCGGCTGGACGTCAGCTTGCCCCCCAACCTTTCTTCATTCTGATCCAGACCTCATACTCGGCGGCTATTCACGCGTTTATCCCGACCTTCAACAGCCCTGGAAAGACGCATATGAGGGTTGGAATCATTTCAGGAAGTGTTGGGCTGGTCCAAGTCCACACAACCACCCAAACTGGAGTAGTCTGTTAGCCCCAGGTAGCCAGCAGCTAAGCGTACATTCCTCACCCTGTATGCTTCTGCGCATGCATTGCTGACTGGATTAGGAATTCCAGATTAGATCCCAGATCTTCGAGCGTGGGCGATATGCGTGGGAGATACTCAGTCAATGCCACGACTTTCCCTGCTCTGCCCAGTATGGGGAAACAATTGATTCACGACCACTTGCCTCCGCCCCTTGGGAGCCGCTTCGATATGAACCTCCGGACGACGACCTCGCTATGATCAACAGGAACCGTACATGTCCTCCGTGCCGATTGCGGGACCATCTTTCCAATGCCTTCTCAACTTCTGGCTTCGACCTCGCATCGCTACCTGCTTCATCAGAGGAACTTGAGACCTGGTGCCCCTGTAACTTTGCTCTGGCCTACAGAACGACGCTTCATTTCCTCGCCAATCTACCGTTCCCGTATATCCACCCGTTCTACTCATCCCATCACTCAACCCTTAACAAGCGCAGTGACATTCTGTCGATGTTGATCCGGTCCTGGAACCGGCTGAACAAGATGTTGAACGGAGGACGCATGCCAAGCCAACAGGAATTTGTGAAAGCTTATGCGGAGGGTTGGTGGAGTTACGAACTGAGCAAGACGCATTGCAGCGGGAAGGATTGTCCCCTTCTTGATATTCACGAAGTATATGCTGCGAGAGGCAAACGTTTTCGCAGAGAACACCATGTTCCGTTTTGGGATCAACCCCTTATTTGGTGATTTCCTACGAGCCTCCAGGGCAACACAACACATTCCATTGCGAAAGCGAAGGTGTCGCAGGGCGCTAAGATCGAGCGTGTTGCCGTCTTCCTGCACTTTGACGACGTGATATCACATTTGTATCAACTTCAGTCTCGCCAGCTCCTCGCCAGCCGGCTGTCTGACTGCCCCGACGAGCTGTTGTACACAGCTATGAGGTATAACAAACACTACTCCAAGACGAAGAGAGCTACGCAGGCGCATGCGAGGTCTTATGCAGTGCGCATTGAACGCATTCGCATCAGAGACTACGAACCCAAGCGGCGTAATCAGGCTCATTACGTGGAGGCATAACTAGGTATGTCCGAACAATCAACTTTGAGAGCGGTGTAGAGTTTGCACCCGGATAGAATTCATGAATAGCAAAGATGACACTATCTCACCTGTGGCCACGCGTACTTTGAACCTCGTACAACCGTACAAACCTATATACCATACGAGAAGTCGCAGAACAGAGTTGTGCCTGTGCGCGGATGCTCGGCAGAATTGCACGCACTACGTGGACGCACAACCAAACATTAGCCGCAACAGTCCCGGATTTCTCGGGTCATTTCGTATTCGGCAATACCGCGGTGGTAAGACGTCAGACCAAGCTTCCCCATCAAGCTCGACAAATGCTATTAATACAGCGATCGTCATTTCAATCCCCAGGAACGACGTCACATGCTCGCAATCGGGTCACCAAGGCAGCTAGTCGCGCCATGTAGCGGTCGACAAGCGTGGCGTGGCCGGTAATGTAAAGAGCTCGAGGTGCCTGCGATATATTCGTTCCTACAAGTCACCCCTTCTAATCCATCGACATTCAACAACATCCGGACTCTTCCACCTCACTTTCGTTCACGAATCTCTCTCCTGCCAACCGCCACCATGAAGTTCTCTACTATCGCATCCGTCTTTGCTGTCGCCGTAGCCGGTGCCCCAACTGATGTGACACCCCGATACGACGTCACCGATTTCATTGCATACTGTTCTACAGACGGTGGATCATGCTAGTACGTTCTTCCCCGTCTTCCCGTCATCACTCAGCTGACACGCGCGTAGCTACGACTTCGCCGTCGTTCAACATGCCAACGGCGAGACAATCCCTACCCAGTGCAACACCGCGGCCGACAGCGACGATGGAGCCCTGCCCGGCGTCTCTGACGGCAAATGCAACTCTTCGCGCACTTTTGCTGTCATCAGGAACGAGGACGGCAGCCTCAACTTCTCCGTCACTCAGCAGATTACGCCTATTTCTTACACGACTGGCAACCACACTATCCCCGCTGATCAGATCGAGAAGAAGGATGGCGCGGAGACTTACGTTGGGCCGAAGAGCTTCGGCCTTTACAGCTCTTAAGATGTCACGACAAATTATATAAGGAACGCTTATATAGATAAATAGACTTGTACTTTTATTCGTTCTCTAAGCTGTGATACTCTCTGAGTCTGCTTGTCCGAAAGTGAAGATTTCGTGATGTCTCGATAGCCTTGTTCGACCAGATACCGAATCCTCAACCTCAAGTAGAAGGTCTAGCCGTGAGGACTTACAGCATGCTCACCTTTCTGATCTCTACGTTCACAACACCGGGTGCATTTCAGTGTGCAGTTGCTGTTGATAGTAATGTAGTTCATTCGGCTAAATACGGGGACTAATAGATTACGAAGCAGGTTCTATAGCTAGCGGCGCAGCATGCACATACAGATATAAGGTAGCTATGGCAAACTTCGTCGTGTAAGAACTGCCGCAAATCCAGTAAAGAGAGGTACTGTGATGCCGGACCATAGGGACTAACATGTGCGACTGATTGCGCAGCATAGAAATGCATGCCTTGTATCATGGCGCGGGGACAGGCTCGACTGCCAACGACGAGAGGGGGGGTAACGCGCGCCGGCGCGCAGAGTCGGTGTAGGTAGACTAGCGTGCTTCACCAGCACCTCCATAGTGCCTTCAGGAAACAGAGAGCCAAGCCCGGCAAACGCGACGGCTTGTCAGTGTTCACAATAAAACAGTCTAGCTATCAAACGACGCACGAGACGTATGGGTAGAGAAGAGAGAAAGGATAGACGCGCAATTCGAGACGAGAGCTTTAGTGTAAGCTGCAGTTGTACACCGCGCTTTGGAGACATGGAGAACTTGCAAGAAGCGCTTCGGAAGATCGGTAGCGTTGTTGAAAAGAAGGACGGGCGCGCTTGGAAAGGAAACGCTTTCGTAATGCGACAATCTGGGTTCGACACGTTTGATGAGACGCGCGTCTAGTTCAGTAGACTATAGAGACGCAATTAACCTTGCATATCGAACACTGAAGAGGAGGGTTCCCAGGAGGACAATGAAGTAAGCAAATCAAATACAACCCAAGGTCACACTTGCGCGAAGAGCGATGCATCTTTTGCTTTCAACTTCTCCGATGGCGTGGAGTCACCGTGTTGGCCGAGCGATGTGTAGTCCCAGATGTTCAGAGCAGCATGTGCAGCCACTGGAAGCACGTTCAGAGATAGTGGTGGAAGAAATGAACGCCGCAAACTGTAATGAGTGTCCATGTCAGAAGGCGACACCGTACCTATGCCGGAAAGCATCACCAACCAAACAAGACCTAGCACTAAGCGCTCTCTCCATTTCACCACCCGGAGCCAATTGCGTCCTTCGCCACAGGCATGCCTTCTAAGGCGTCACTCTCAACCTGATCAGATGACAGTCTAAAGTGTTTGCCTGAGCCGGGACGAGGTCTCGGAGCGCGATATTACACCTGGATGCGAAGACTTACCGAGCTCCGAGGATATGGGAAGCACATGGTGTTGGTGGGTGCGACATTGTATCCGGGTTATCGCAAATGCCAGGATGGGTGAGACGTGCGTTATTTGGGCTTCGTTCACAAGGCGGATATTTTGGTAGATGAGGCATTTCCTTCCGGCGCGACATTGCTTTCTCAGATCTCATGTCCTCTGGCCAGCTCCTGGCGCTGTTTCGTGTGATAGTTGAGAGAAGACCTCGTACATTGACGCCGGCAGCGGACAGAATATAGAGCAGGCTTTTGGGCTCGATCGGCTTTCGTGTGCAGCGTGAGAGAGATGAGGCGGACTATACGATGCGACACAAGTCGTCTGGCCGGGCCGCGCAAGCTGGAACGATCTGATGAGGTTCGTTGTGGTCTCTTGCTTCAGCCGATGCGTGAGGGCACTTAGATTAGCGAGGGCTAACCAGGCACGTCGCGCCTGCCACAGAACCAACGTTGCGCTGCTCTTTCGGTCTGAACAGTTGTTCCAACACTCATTCTGCCTTGCGTTTCTGGCGGCTGAAATGGCGATGCTGATGGATGTGTTCTGATCGCACGAACAGCCAAGCTATCGCAATCATACCGTGTACCAAAGTATAACGTTGATAACCAGCTCGAATTAGGATTACGCAGGGGTCAGGGTGGAAGACGCAGTCTATTGCATCATCCCTGATCGCTTGACTGCCATGGTATGAAGGCGTCGACATCATTTCATGACTCCGCTAATCACTGCCATGATGTGGGACCAGTGAAGTCTTTGAGCATAACGGTGCGCAAAGCTGGATCTACGATTCCAGCGTTCGTAATTCGGTCTCCGCAAGCCTATCAAGTAGCTGGGTAAAAGGGTGAAGTCTGACTGCAAAGAAGGCTGATGAAGATGCTTTCGATTGGGAGAGCGCGGGACCGCACAGGAGTCAGAAAGCCCCAGTCACATGCGACTATGCGATCTTGCCAGGCATGTGTTGTATGATGAGACGAGAAACAATCTCTAAGCGTTAGACGGCAGCGGCATCACAAGCAACAGATGACGATCCATCGTGTAATGATATACTTCGTGATGCTTAGTCTTGACTCGTCGACATACGATTGCGATGGCCTTTCCCTTCTCTCAACTTCTTGAGTGAAGCAGAAGCTATCTTCACGAACTCTTCAAGCCCGTCGCAGAAGTCGTCGCGAACTTCACCGCTTTTGGTCCCTACTTCTTCCACGGCAGTTTCGACAATCTGCTCGGTTTCCTCTTTGAACTTGCACAGCTTGTCGTCAACCACTTCACCAAGCTCTCGTATGCAGTCCTCCTTGATTGTGTCGACATCGAGCTTGTGGTCGGCAACCACGTCTTCAAACTCTCCCTCAGCTTGATTACGGAGGCTGTACGCTTGGTCATTGGCATCGGCGAAGATCGAAGTCAAGTGATCCTTGGCCAGAACTTCCATGCGGTCGGCTATGAGTGTGCCGAGGGAAGGCGAGGGTTGGGGGGTACAGCTGGCTCTAGGGGGAGGCGACGAAGAAGGTGATCGTCTGGGAGCAAGGGATCTATGGAGGACATCCGGCAATATGCTCCTGAGAATGTTGGGCAACATGCTTTCGACCAGGGCTGGAAGCTGAGCTTCAACGGCCTTATTGACGACGTCTTGGAAGGCGAGCTCGGCACTGGCGTATGGAGATGGGTGTGCACTTATTAGTTTCGCTTCCTCCTTCTCGCATGGCGAATGATGGGATGTGCTGGGTGGGCAAGGTGAGGATGTCGCAACTTCTGTGGGCGACCCATGATCGTAGTGCGGACGTTTATGAGGCGGCGATGCGGGATGCGAGGGTGGTGTAACTATCTTGCGTATGAGTAATTGTCGAGGAAGTGATTGTGGCACGAGGTAACCTACCACGCCTGGGTCGCTTTTGCGACGCACCTGCATCTACCGCGTTTGCGTACGAAGGCGGTGGTTGGTGGTCTCCTTCAACGGTACTGAAGATTGCCCAATCCGCGTATCTACATCCATCGGCACTCTCAGAGACCCCCGAGAACGCTCCCATTTCTTTGAACAGGCGTTCCAGGGGAAGACGATTGTTGGCGTGCACCCAATTGTAGTCAAAGGTGATATCGATTGCTGTAGCTTTCGCGAGGGCAGCCAGGCGGTGGAAGGGGGCCTCATATCCGCTCTTCGATGTGAAGGTAGCGGTTGAAGAAGGGCACCTGATCTTGCATGGCTTCGCGAGCGTTAAAGCCAATGCTCTTATTTGGGGATTTCCGGCGCGTGCGATGGAGGTCAACTGGTCGTGGGAAAGGGACGTGGTAGCATCGCTGAGCGTAGTTGCGTCGCGCATCAGGTTGTCAGCATCATAGATCAAAGTAAACGTTTGCTCATCATCGAAGCCATGAATGAAAGTCGTGCATTGTAAAAGGAAGCTAAGCTGCAATGGCTCCTCGTTATACTTCACGACCAAGACACATGGTGATTGTGCAGCAGGGTCCGATCTTACGCTTGCCAACACAGGCACACCCTTCTTGGAGACAAGCCAGCGGACCATGGTGCAGAAGTATCACTCACAAGTGATATCCCCCTTGCGATGAAGCGAACGCAAAGGAAACCCACCCGCCCGGGCTTTTGACGCGTTGTGCGCGGAGAGCAGCCCTGACTCGTTGTGTCCGGCTCGGCGAATGGTGCTGGGTGGAACGGAAGCGCGGTGTCGGCTCGTGAACTGCTGTCCCCGTCGTGTCCGCACAATCTGCGACTGCTTGAGAACCGCCCCTTTGACGCGTGAGTCGCCGACGCGTGGGCTGTAGGCCGACAACACCGCGCGCACGTCAAAGGTCCCGGGGGATGGCGGACTGAGGCAAGGCGACAGGCTGGCGAAGAGGAGCGGAGGCCAGGAGCTGACGAGAGACTGTGGCTGCGGTTGACGGCGGCTAGCAGGCGAGGTCGAGATGGTTAGGGACGATGGCGGTGATGGTCGTCAGAGTGGAGGTCGCGCTCTAAGCGTGTTGGTGGCGAGCGCTGCAGCTTCCGGGGTCGGATTTTCTATTTCCCCGTGTGGACGCTAGCCGTTTCTCGATGCTTAGTCACACATCAAGCCTCGCCATCCGTAACCAACATCAACGGCAATGATGCGGTTTACACGCTTGGCCACTTAACATCACTTAGTGACACGACGCGATATGTATCGTGCCAATACGGTACACATCAACACATGTGCGGCCACGCGCCGCTCGTAGTGCGCGAGAGGCAGCTCTGATTCCAAGTGCAGTTCCCAGCACATTGGCGCACATGACAGCACGCTCGTGCGAAGAAGAATGGGCTACTTTTCGCTCGATGACGGCTGGCGCGGTATGGTGGGCAAAGTGACAACATTCGGACGCGCAGTAACGACAGGTGAATTTGGTGTGTGACCCTTATCGGGTATGCGTTCTGCATCTACTGGACAAAGAGCCACATAGCCAGCTCGAATCTAATGCTCAGAAGCGTTCCTGTCGCAACACGGTCATGAGTTATGATTCCACCCACCAGCTCTGTGGTTGCAAAGCGTCGTCATGGGTGTGATCTGAATCTTTGGCTTGACATGATGATGCGACGAGAATGAGACTTGCGTCCTTCCAGCGCTTCCAGGACCAAGCATCGGTCTGGCTCCAAGCACACCCCTTCTCCACTGTATGTGCCATTGGTTCAAGCGCGAACGACAGCAGGAAGAGGACGCACGGCATCATAGGCGGTGGTGCAAGATGGCATGGCATTATCGCTCACACCTCGGCACCACTCTCAGGTCCCCTCAAGGTCGTCAATGGTCATCTGCTCCTCAAACATTATTATTAAAGAATAATCGGATACGCACATGTATCTGCTGCCTCGCGGCACCACTTCTAGCTTCGTCCGGAATATAGTGCATCGTCTCTATCGCGTTCACGCTGTTTAGTTCTTACCGCGGTATCTTAACGACGCCACCAATACTTTGACATACATATCCCCGTTCTACAACAAGCGATTAGATTTAGTTCCTAAATAGTGCGTTACTCCAAGACCACGGCCTTCGCCTTCGAGATTACACAAGGTGCATCGAGTTATCTTATTTCACCAATGTAAGGTTAGTTAAGAACATTATTATCTATAAACTACAGTCTTATAATGCTGTAGTTCTAGTAGGCTCTAATAATTGTAATCTTTTTTATTTAAGCTAAACAGTATTTTTGCGCGTATAATTGTAATAGTTTCTTAATAATTAAGTCTAACTATCTATATTCTTTTAAACGTAATTAAGAGCTATTTTAGCTTACTTCTACTTAAAGATATTTAAGGTTTATTAGAATATTAATAATTAATTATGTCTATTATAATAGCGTAAGAGAATAAGCTAGTTATATACCTTACACCTATAAGTATATAGACCTATAATTATAATATACTATCTATAGTAGCGCTATATTAGTTAAATATAGCTCTTAATAGTATTTCTAGAAAAGAGTTAAGTATATATTTTAATATACTTAGCCTTAAACACTATTACTTATTATACTAGTATAAGGCTTACTCTTTTAAGTTATACTCTAGGCGTAATTAGACTAGATTATATCTATAGTTTAAACTACTAGTAACTAGTTACTTTAGAATATAAAGAATAAGAAAAAGTAAAGAAGTATATTAAAGATAGTATAGTTCTAATATATACTTTAATTAAAGAGTAAAGTTAGCTTTAAAATAGCTAGACTAGTATAGTGTAGATTAATAATAGATAGTTATAGAGTATAGAGATAAGAGTAAGATAATATTATAACTTTATAGTTATAGATTAATCTACTATATTAGAGATTAAATTATAGTGTAATAGATACTATTATAGAAATATAAAACCTTTTAGTTAGATAAGTATATTAAAGTTACTTTATCTATAGTTAAAGACTATAAAAATATAATTATAATACTAATATATAATAAAGAAAAAGAAGTAGATAGTAAGATAATTATATAAAGATTAGTAAAGTAATAGTATAAGAGTTTAGAGAAGTATTATAGAGTAATATACGTATAATATCTTATAAATTAGTAATATATTTAAGAGTCTCTATAAGTATTAAGTATAGTAAAACTTAAATTCTTATAGTTTTAGAAATCTCTACACGTTCTACTATTACTAATTTACTACTAGAGAAGATAAAAAGCACTAGTCTTTACTTATATCTTACACTTCTTTTTAGAGTAAGCTTTCTTTATTAGCTTATCTATTATAATATATACTAAAATTTTCTTCTTTATAGAACTATAATTTATCTCTATCTAATATAAAATATAGAATATCTAGTAAAAGAGCTATAAAGTTTTATATATTATATTAAACTTTTATACTCTTATATTAGTAAAATAAATAATAAATTCTAAAGTCTTAGATCTATCTTACACTATCTACACTATTATCTAAACTATTAGTAAGCTAGACTTTTATATAAAAAGCTTCTTAAGTCTAGAATATTTTATACTATTAAAATAATCTAAAAGTATAGATTTTATTAGAGACTCTAAGACACTAAGATATAAAAAGTATTCTACGCTTTGTTTTATAAGTAAAGGCTACGCTATAGAAGCTAATAAGAATAAGTTTAGTTAATACTCTAGAATAGTATAGCTTTATATAGTAATATCTATAGTATAGTTACTATATTAGATAAAGATATAATTACTAAGTAGTAATATATATATAAAATAGTAATAGTATTATTTTTAGGTAAGTTATAGACTATATAAGTACTAATAGTTTATTATCTTTAGGTATATTCTTTATTATCTTAATATATCTATATATCTATAGGCTATTTCTATCTTTTAGATTTTATTACTTATTATCTTATTACTATAAAATACTTAGCTAAACCTAATATTTACTTTAGTGTCTTAAGCGTTACCTTTACTACTCTCTTTTCTTAGTATTTTCTATACTAAGACTCTATAACAAAAAAACGCCTATCTACTTAATAGTTAATTTAGGCTATTATAATTTAAATAGTATAACTCTTACTAATACCTATAGCTATTACGTAAGCTAGCTCTAATTATTTCTAATAGTTTTATTATTTAGTAGTAACTATACTAAGTTTAATAGTAATAGCTTATTTAAGTAATATCTTTACTATTATCTATACTACTAGTAATACTATATCTTTAACTATAAAGCGCTACTACGCTACTACTATATAATATACTATAAATACGCGAAACTTTCTATATTAATATTCTTACTAACCTAAGTTAACTACTTATAGTATTTAAGATATATATATTCTAAACTTTTCTATAGTTACTCTAGAGCTAGAGAAAGTATTAAGACTTTCTTCTACCTCTATATAGTAGCTTATAGTTCTCTTTATCTACTTATAGTATATTAAGATATAAATTCTTAATAGCTAGTATTAAATATCTTATAACTATAATAGACGCGTATTATTATAATAGTACCTCTTTCTATACTCTAAAAACTTCTAGTAGAGAAAATTTTTTTACTCTACCTTTTTAAATATACTTCTTAGTTACTATATAATCTAAGGTAGAAGTAATTAAGTGTAAAATATTCTATAGTAGTATTATATAAGTATAAGCCTTTTATATCTTATATATAGCTATTATTATCTATATAATTATATATTCTATAATATATTTTATTTACTCTAGTATAGGTTTCTATACTTATTCTTACTATCTAAGAAGATAGCTTAAATACTAACTTATATTTTAACTTATATATTATAAAAAGTAAAAAGTATATTAGTATACCTTTACT